CCACCGCTCTGCATTTCTTGGCGGTGCTCCGCATTGTTGGCCATTGCGTAGCATTGCTTGGCATTGGTTGTCCTTGCTTTGACATTGCTTGGCATTGCATAGCATCGCTTGGGGCATTATCTGGCGCTGTGTTGCATTGCTTTGAATTGCTTGCCGTAGCCCTCCATTGCTTGGAATTTCGTGGGAGCGTCGGAAGCCGTCGGAAGCCACCAGGGGCCCTCGGACACCCCCTCGGGTGCCCCGCTCTCGGAAGCCGTCGGAAGCGCTCGGGGGCCGTCGGAGGCTGCGTTCGGAAGCCGTCCAGGGGCGGCGGACGCTGGTGCGATACCCCCCCCCTCCGGAAGCGACGAGCGACGAGGAACAGCAGAATCTGCAGGGGCCCGAAGAGGAGAGTGCGGGCAATGGGGGCGACGAGGGATAGGGAGCGACGGGAGGAGAAGAAGAGGAGAAGGAGGCAGCAAAGGGAGGCGAGCGAAGACCAAGGGAAGATGCGGGCAAGGGGGCGACGAGGGATAGGGAGCGGCGGGAGGAGAAGAAGAGGAGAAGAAGGCAGCAGAGGGAGGCGAGCGAAGACCAGGGGAGGAGAGGCGAGAGAGTCGAAGAGGGGAGGCGAGGAGACTCGAAGAGAAGGAAAAAACGAGAGAGAGAGAGAGAGAGCGCCGAGGAATCCAGGCCACTGGCCACCCCAGGGCCCCCCCCCCGGTCCGAGAACCCCGACGGGGGATACGTGTCTGCTCTTGATGTGCTATGCAATGTGTGTGCCGCAATCCACATGGTCCAATCTATGTGGTGCCATATAGGCGGTGCAATCTAGTTCGAGACATCCAGTGCCCGACTGCTCGCCGATGTTCTGTTCTCGCTGCGTCTGAACGATGCCCAGGACCCCCGAGGGTTTCAGACGGCCTCCGACTGCCTCTGGCTGCGTTCGATGGCCTCCAGACGTAACCAAAGGGCCCCGAGGGCTCCCGCACGCTTCCGACGGCCTCAGACGGTTTCCGAAGGCTTCCGAAGGGCTCTTCTTCCCCAGCTCGCTGTCCTCGGCCTCTCCTTGGTCTGGAGGTCGCCATTGAGAGAGCAACTGGGTTGTTGCTCGTGGCAGGGCCGCCCCTGGGCTTCTCAGGGCGCCCGCGCGGCCTTTGAGCTCCTCCGGTCCCACCCGCCTTTGCAGCCCAGCCTTGCCATCTCTTCGAGTTGCTCTGCGCACTGCTTGGCCCCAGGGTCGCCCCATGGCACCCGGGAACACCATCGGGGATGGCCTGCTGGCTCCTCGACATAGACTGCGCCACATCGATTGCACGAGACTTGCTCCTGTCTAAAAAAAGAATGCGGATCTCCCCCCTCCCACCCCAGGGACCTATCCGTACCCCCTGGGGATGTGCAATCTCCACGTCTGCCCCATCGTTCTTTTTACATCAGAACTCATACCAACCCTGCCAAACTGATAGCCCCCTCATCCTCGCTAGATAAGGCTATGCTCGCACACTCGTTTGTCAAACATCGTACATATGCAATTTCAAGAATCCCTTGCAGCAGACGGAACAGAGTCCACACGCGCACGGCGTCGCGCGCGCATGCCGAACTCTGGCTCGTCAGATAGACTACATATGCTCGCACACTCCTTTGTCAAACATCGTGCATATGCAGTAATTCCTTGCGTCGGAACAAAGTCCACACGCGCGCGCCGTCGCGCGCGCATGCCGAATTCTGCAAACATTCTAGGGTCCGTGAGGATTTCAAAATCAAGTTTCCAGAAGCCGTTAAACAAGCAAACGTGATTCAACATAAGTTTTCAACAACGTTTGAGCGCGCTCTCGTGCGACTTCTTGAGGAAGCCATCCTTCTCAACGTGCTCAGCACATTCGACCAAGCGGGCCTCTCGCGTGCCCACTTCGAAGTCATTCGAACGCCGTTGCGCGCTTGCTGGGGGGCCAGAAATCCTTGCTGTGGGCGTTCGAAATCATCACCCGAACGCCGTGGGCACGATCCAACCCAAAATCATACCATGCGGGCCCCTCGCGCCCGTCGGCCGCGCGCGCATGCCGAAATCCGAACAAGACCTTTTTTTTTCGCTGACACGCGGACACAATCATCGTCATGGGCGTGATCTGCATCGGCGCCGTCATTGGCCTTGCCGTCGTCATCGTCATCATCGTCACCAGCATCGCTACCATCATCACCGTTTCTGCCGTTGTCGACGTCGCCATGATACCGCGTCCGCCCGAGTTACCAACTTGCGCTGAAGTGCCCACGCGTTAGCGCGGCTTGCGAGACGCGCTGGGATGTTCCCAGCGGTCAGCGCCACCGCGGCCGCGTTTGTCGCGCCAGACTAGCTCGCCAGTCTGCGCGCCAGCCTGTGCGCGCTAGCGCAGCCGCAGCGATGCGCCAGCCAGCGCCAAACAGTCATCGCAATCGCCGCCGCATGGGTTTTGCAAACAAAGTTGGGTGTGAGTGGGGGTATTGCCCGAGCAATGGAGTTGAAATTCGTTACGAACACGAATGAATTTCGGCACGTAGGGAGCCACATCTATTTGCACCATAAATGTGTGCAAATATGGCACATCGTAGACCGCACAACATCGATGACACCACATTGATTTCAAAGCATAGTTTGCGCAAACTTTTTTCCCATATTTTGTTGTTAGGAACATCATGTGTGGGTCCACGCTGGCAAACACATGTGCAATTGTAGGTGTGCATACATAAACTTGATATGGTGGTAACAAAGGCGCTGCCTACGACGAACCGGGGTCGTGTACCGTTAAAGTTGGCGCCAGTGCCGCCTGTGCATGGCTAGGAAACACCGACAGGTGGGATCAGGAGGCAGGTGCGAGCCTGCTTGTAAGTTTCAACCATGGGTGAGAGTAGCGAGCGACTGCGATGCTGTCGGACGCATTGCTGATACTCGCAGGCGTTCAGTGGCGCTCCCAGGCTATTGTGGTACTTGCAGGGCCTGGTGGAATTACAGTTGGGCGCACGTGTGGGTCTCTCATTTTGATGGTGTGCTCGCAGGCACACTGCTGGTGCTCGCAGACTCGAGGTCTCGGCCCGGGGTTCTCTTGACCGCGGAAGCCGAAGAGGGTATACAACATTCAAGATCCTCTGTCCTCGGTCCTTCTGCGGTTTCTCCTCGTCGTCTTCCCTCGACGGCGGCCCTCGCTGCCTCTGTGGGCCTTGGGGTACCACCAGAGTCAGAGTGATGATCTCGCCCGCCAGCGCGCGGAGACTCCACACTTGTCAGGCCGACACTGGTCGCACAGGCATATTGCATGTTTACGAAGTAGGTTCGCTGCTGCATTGGGTTCGATTCGATTCCTCCTCATCCTTCCTCATCCTTCCTCATGTCCGGAGAGGGATGAGGAGGTGTAGAGACGGGTGAGGACGGAGATAGGGGATAACTGGAGGGGGGGATGAGGAGGAGGTGGAAAGTGAGGAAAGGCGGAGGAGGACGAGGAAAAGGAGGAGGAGGCAAGCATGGTGCGCTCGCACCCTCCTATCTGACATTCTACCCCTCACACCTCCCTTCCCGTTGTTATGTTTTTCCTCTATCTGCGGGTGCGTGTCATACCGGACCCAGAAATCACAACGACCAACCGTGTCACGCGCAATTGGAAAAGGGGAGTTGCAGACATAGGAGGAGGGGAGGAGGAGATGGCGGGTGAGCAGGAGGATCCGCAGGAGGATGAGGAAAAGGAAAATGAGGAAGGATAAGGAGGAGGAGGAGGAACAGGAGGATCAGGAGGACGAACAGCATAAGCTTGAACTGGAGAGGAAGGAGCCCGATGAGCAGGAAGAACAGGGGAAGGCGGAGGACAGGACTGGAGGGTGGCGACAACAATGAGAAAGGATTCGGATCTAGAAGAGCGGGTCGCGCTTGGGCGAGAGTTCCAATGTGAACGACGGGAACAACACACCCATCCTAAAATGATGCCAACGTTGCCGCGGCAGCACCACTTTGAGACACCGAAAAGAGGCTAACGCTGCAGTGGCAGCATCACTCTGAGACACCGAAAACGCTCCGACTGAAAAACATCAGGCTCGACCGCATGTATCAACAGTGCGCGTAGGGGGCGGGCTACTCACCGGCCATCCTCGGGAGAGAGAGGGGATTAGTATTCATTTGTTCATGTTGAGTAATTGAAGAGGCGGAGACGGCGGGAATGGGGAGTAGGGGGGTAGGAGGAGAGGGGGATGGAGGAACGGGACTGGATGGGGGAGGAGGGAAGAAACGGCTCCTCCCCTTCAACCCTGACACCCCACTTCGTCCTCCATCATCCTCGTTCCCCTTTTCTCCCTCGCCCTCCTCCTCGCCCTCCTCGCCCCCGTCCTCCTCTCTTCCTCTCCTCCATTGCACTCCTCCACCCTCCCTGGGCTGCCGCCTTCGCCGTTGACACCGTCGTCGTCGTCGTCGGCGTCGTCGTTGGCGTCGGCGTCGGCGCCGGCGTCGGCGTCGGTGCCGTCGCCGACGATGGGTGGCGGGCGCCGCCGAGAGGCCGCATGGGCGAGCAGTCGTCTCCGCCGCTGGGGGAGCCCAAAGGCCGCATGGGCGAGCAGTCGTCTCCGCCGCTGGGGGAGGGCGGCGACCTGCCCTGGACGCCGTCCTTCTCGGGGCCCCGCGCCGCCCCAGCCCGGCCGACGTCGTCGTCGCCGCCGCCGCCGCCGGGGGTCGTCGTGGTCGCAGGGGCCGTGGTCGCCGCCGCCGCCGTCGTGGTTGTCGGGGTCGAGGCCGTCGCAGTCCTCGCCGTTGTCGTGGTCGTCGTCGTCGCCGCCGCCGCAGTGGTGTTCGTCGTAGTGGTCGTCAGAGTCGTCGTCGTCGTCGTCGTCGTCGTCGTCGTCGTCGTCGTCGTCGTCGTCGTCGTCGTCGTCACCCGCCGCCGTGGTCCGTGGTCGTCGTAGGAGGAGGAGGAGTTTCACAAAAGGGGGGATCGGACCTTCCGTCAGCGCTCACGCCACGCATGTGGCAGTAGCAGCAGGCGGCGGAGCCCTCGGGCGCCCGCTCGGGCTCACGGTCGCTGGTTGCGCGGCAGGCTGACGGCGAGCTGTTGCTGCAGCTCGCCGCCGTCGCCCCGCTCGGGTGTCTCGGCGAGCCCCGCCTTCTTCGCCGTCTCGTGCTTCTCGGCCGTGGCGTCGAAAGATGGGACAGCAGGGATCTCCTCGAACTCGATGTGCACGCTGACTGCCTGGGCAGCCCCCACGCACTGCTTTGAGGGTCCTGCTGGAGGGGGCCCATTGACAGCGCGTTCCCACCGAACGGGCGCCACTCCGCCCTCAGGGACGGCCTGGGGGGTGGCGGCCTTGAGGTCCGCGTGGATGTCGTACAGCATCGCCTTCAGGTCGTCGAGCCGATCCTCGATGTCGTCCTGCGCGATGGCGTGGGGGTCCTTCGGCAAGCTGCCGAGGCCTTGCTGCTCCCAGTCGCTCTCGGTGCTGCTGGTGGGCGACTTCCGGGGGCAGCCAGCCTCGGTGATGCCGAACTCCCTGGCGTACTTGTGCGCGTTCTGCTCCGTGAGATGGCGCAGCACATTGAAGCACATATCGAGTCTCTCCGCTGCCTTGCCGCTCTTGCCCGTGCTGTGCCCGCTTTGTTGGGTCGCTCGAGCCGCGACCGTGAGGCCTTCGAACGGGCAGTCCAAACAGTTCTCGAAGTGCTCCAGCGCCTTCCCTCTGAGCCAGAAGACCCGCCGCACGCGGCTGGCGAGAACCTCCTCCATGGCCCCCAATCCCTGATAGGGTTGCCGCTGAGCCTCTGCAGGCGGGCCTGCTGCCTTGAGCCAAGAATGGCTACGGAGGAGGAGGAGGAGGAGGATAAGAAGGAGGAGGAGGACGGGGAGGACCGTAGCAGTTTTGGCTCAAGTCAATTTGCTCTAAAGCCTGGTTGCGCGCACGTCGGCTTGCCGAGCCCGCCTGCGTGTAGAGAGTGACTTGGAATGGCACAGGCGTCTGCCGACCTTGCGAGTGACAGTGTGGACGAGCGGGGCAAGGGTCCGCGGCGGTCAGACGCTCGGGCATGCTGCTCAAAACTGGGCGGCCTTCTCAGCCGAGCGGGCCATCAGGCGCTCGTCTGAGGAATTGCAGAGCGTCCGGCAACAGCTACGGTGCGCTGTGCTGGCGTCGGATGCCGCGGTCCGGTGCTCGGAGGTCGGAGAGCGTTTGCGAGCCCTGTTGCCCGAGGCCGCTGCGAACGTGCACGGCCGACGGCCGGCGTGGATCGACAAACTGCGCAAGAACGTCGCGATGCATTCTGACGCGGAGGGCATCGACATCGTCACGGCCCAGCCAGCAGAGCTGCGCAGCGCTGCAAAGGGGCCCCTGCTGGAGGCCAGGCAGAACATACACGTGTGGAACGAGCGCGCACCCGTCTTCACTCCCGCGGGCGCAGTCGATTCAGACAGTCACGTCACCCGGAGAGTGGCAGCTCCTGAACCTGGAGTGGAGTACCTTCCCGACGAGGTGGTCGTGGAGGGCGGCGGTGCCACAAGAACCCACCGAGCCTCGGCCTCCTGCTGTGGGGTTCCCCCCCCCCCGCAGCGGAAGGCCCTGTGGGTGGGTCTGGAGGCGCAGAGCGGGCCCTCCACACGCAGAGAAGGCTTCGAGCCCCAGGTGGCCGTGGCTGTGCCGGGCGTCGGCCGAACTCCAACGGTGGCAAGCGCGGAGCAGCAGCCTCAGGCCGAGAGGCAGGCGGAGCAGGTGGAGCTCTCGGCTGCGCTCCCTGCGGCCTCGGGAGGGGGACCGTGCCGTCGTCCCCCACTCGGCGTGCAGCGCGCGGGGCCCACGCCCGCGAGCGGCACGTAGTCCGAAGCCGGGACAGCCAGGAGGAGACGGGTGCACCGTCTTCGCTGTACCCGCTGCCTTCGGACGGGCCATCTTTTGCGATCCCACTGTCGGAGGGCACCAACTATACACCTACACCGATCCAGCCCAGGCCGATCCTAGGCCCAGGATCGTTGTATATGCCTTCTTGCGCAAGGCAGGAGGGCGTATACACCGATCCTGGGCCCAGGGTGGTCCTGGCCAGGATCGGTGTTGGTGTATAGTCGGCGCCCTTCTACACTGCAGGTGCTGCCTGAAGGGTCCAGATTTGGGTCTTCCGTGGGCTGTTTTTTTTCTGCGGCTGAGTTGAGTGCCCTGTGACTCTTAGTCGTGTCCATTTTGCGAAGTGTCGTCGCGGTGTCAATACATGGTGGAACGGGATCCCATAGAGAATGTCCGTTCCAGGTGGTTTCTGGATATCTGAATCTCGATCGTGAGCTTTCGTTGATTTGGCAGATGGCGTGGGCATGGATTCGCGTAAGTCTTTCTCTCTGCACCTTTCTTCTTGGACGTCGCGTACAGGCTCGTGGTGGACGCAGAGCTCGTCTGAGGGGCTGGAGGGCGGAGGTGCCACAAGTGGCGCCTCTAACGAATTCCGCCCCAGAAATCCGCGCCAGAATCAAGAAAAGGAGAGGGATACATAGGTAGGATGAGAGGATGAGGATGAGGGTGAGGATGAGGATGAGGCTGAGAATGAGGATGAGGATGAGGGTGCCTATGATTACGAGGATGATGATGATGATGCTGATGCTGATGATGATGCTGATACTGATGGTGATGACGATGATGATGGACGATGAGGATGTCGATGCTGATGATGCTGATGATGGTGATGCTAATGACGAGGATGACGATCTGATGATGCTGATGATGATGGTGATGAGGATGGTGGTTGTGGTGGTGATGATGATGATGTTGCTGATGATGATGCTGCTGATGATGATGCTGATACTGCTGTTGACGATGCTGATGATGATGATGCTGCTGCTGCTGATGATGCTGATGATGATGATGATTATGCTGATGGTGATGCGGATGCTGATGATGATGATGATGATGGTGATGATGGTGATCATGTTGATGCTGACGATGATGATGATGTTGCTGATGATGCTGCTGCTGATGATGATGCTGTTTATGATTATGATTATGATGATGCTGATGATAATGCTGCTGCTGATGATGGTGATGATGACGATTTCGACGAGTCTGATGATGCTGCTTATGACGATGATGATGCTGCTGATGATGATGCTGCTGATGATGATGACGACGATGCTGATGATGATGATGCTGGTGATGATGATGATGATGCTGATGATGATGATGATGATGATGATGCTGATGATGATGATGATGATGATGATGATGATGATGACGCTGCTGCTGCTGCTGGTGATGATGATGATGATGGTGGTGATGGTCTTGGTGGTGGTGGTGATGATGATGATGCTGATGCTTATGCGGATACTGATGCTGCTGATGATGATGCTGGTGTTGCTGATGATGCTGTTGATCATGATGGTGCTGATGATGATGATGCTGCTGATGATGGTGATGAGTGTGATGATTATGAGGGTGATGATGATGATGATGATGACGATGATGATGATGATGATGATGATGATGATGATGATGATGATGATGATGACGATGACGACGATGATGATGATGATGATGATGCTGATGATGATGATGTCAATGATGCTGATGATGATGATGACGATGATGATGATGATGATGATGATGATGATGATGCTGATGATGATGATGCTGATGATGATGATGATGATGATGATGCTGATGACGAGGATGACGAGGAGGACGAGGAGGAGGAGGAGGAGGAGGAGGAGGAGGAGCAGGAGCAGGAGCAGGATGAGGATGATGAGGAGGAGGTGGAGGAGGATGAGGAGGACGAGTTGGAGGAGGAAGAGGAGGAAGAGGAGGAGGAAGATGCATGAGGCAGGAGAAGGGGGAGGAGGAGAAGGTTGAGGAGGATCGAAGAGGAGGAAGAGGCGGGACGAAGCGGGATGAAGGGGGAGGAGGAAGAGGGCACGGGAGAAGGAGGTTGAGGAGGGACGAGGATAAAAAGGATGCTAGAAAGGGAGCGCCAGGAGGAAGGGCAGGATGAGGAGGAGGAGGAGGAGGAAGAGAAACAGAGGAACGAAGGAACAATGGTCAAGGGAGGAGAAGGACCACAAGCACATACATGAGTCATCAGAGGAGGAGATGGACCAAATCAAATAAACTTTCGTCCCAGGTTCGAAATCCCCACGTCATAAGGCCATACGAGCAGTCCAATTCACTACGGGAAGCTCCCCTTGGAAAGACGAGAGCCCCTATGAGCTTGCGGCTTCGGGCAACGGGTCCGCCCTTCTCCTTATAGCCGTAGCAAGTGCCATTGGGTAGGATCATACAGCCAAACGACCAGTCCAGCGATAGTCACGTCTTGACAGGGCCGAACTCCATCGGCATACATAGCTGTTGCACGCTGCGACAAGTCGGGTCACACGAAACGAAGCACTCGCAATAGTATCGCTTTAGAAAGGGACAGCTCGCCATCCGCCATCCTTCTAGCTGTCGCGCAGTTTTACTCCCCGGGCCATACTTCATATACTTGTATGTATATACGCTGAGCAAGGGAGGGAGAGAGAGATAGAGAGAGAGCGAGAGAGAGGGAGAGAGAGAGAGAGAGAGATTGATCGTCTCATTTCGCATAAGGAGCCCCTCCCCATCCCTTTCGCCCGAGGGAAGCTCTACGGCGAATCGGCGCAGCGCTGAGGCGAGAGTCTTGCATGGCGGTGAGTGGGGAATCTTTGGGGAGTCCTGGGTGGGGAGTCTTTGAGGAGCCTGGGGAATCTTTGTCCTGGCCAGTTCACATCACTTGTTTCCCTCCCTATCCTTGTCATGGTGGCCTCGGTTCTTTGGCGACAGGACGCGGTACTTGTACGGCCAGCGTGGTCCAGTCAATACCACCGCACCCGTTTCGGCACACCCTTCACACGTTTCGTGCCCCATAGGGAGCTCCACCGAATGTCTCAGAGGCAGCGCCCGCATGGCACCACCGCACCCGTTTCGGCGCACCCCTCACACGTTTCGGGCCCCATCGTTCCACCGAAGGCCCCAGTGGCAGCGCCCGCATGGCACCACCGCACCCGTGTCGGCACACTCCTCACGCGTTTCGGAGCCCCATAGGGAGCTCCACCGAGGGCCCCAGTGGCAGCGCCCGCATGTCACCACCGCACGCGTTTCGGCACACCCCTCATACATTTCGTGGCCCCACATGGAGGTCCACCTAAGGCCCCAGAGGCAGCGCCCGAATGGCACCACCGCGCCCGTGTCGGCACACCCCTCACACGTTTCATGCCCCATAGGGAGCTCCACCGAAGGCCCCCGAGGCAGCTCCCGCATGTCATCACCACCGCACCCGTTTCGGCCTCTCTCCTGACACGTTTCGAGGCCCCATTTGGAGCTGCACCGAAGGCCCCAGTGGCAGCGCCCGCATGGCACCACCGCGCCCGTGTCGGCACACCCCTCACACGTTTCGGGCCCACTAAGAAGCCCCACCCAAGGCCCCCGAGGCAGCTTCCGCATGGCGCCACAGCGCACGTTTCGGCACACGCCTCACACGTTTCGTGGCCCCCCAGTGGCAGCGCCCGCATGGCACCACCGCGCCCGTGTCGGTACAATCCATCACACGTTTCGGGCCCCATAGGGGGCTCCACCGAATAGGATACGCACCACCGCGGTATTCACAACTGCATACGGTTGGGTTTTTCGCCTGGGTAGGTTTTTCATGCCCTTCAAGGGTGCTTCTCAACATTTCGTGTAATCGCAAGCCGTGGCACTCCCCTCGGCGGCCCCCCATTGCCTTTTGTTCGAGCCTGGGCGCGCACGCGCC